CTCCTCTTTTCTACCTTTCATTCCCCACAGCCTCCTGTAGAGGCTCTTCATTCTCTCCATCTCATTTTCCTCTCACCCGCTCTCTCAATCTCACCCTCTCTTCCTCCACCCACTTTCTACAATCCAGCCCCCCTCCCTCCCTCCCTCCCTCCCAGGCTTTCTCTCTAATCCCTCTCTCTGTTTTTTTTACTTCTCCCAAGAGAGGATTTGGGCAAAGTGTTTAATGGATTGCAACAAATGGGCAAAAGAGTGGGCCATAGTCAGGTGCTGCACATTTATGCAGACGCCTAGCTCAGTTTTCCTGACTGTTTTCTTCTCTCACAACATTCCTACAGTTGAATAGACGCTCCGAAAACCACACATCTTGCTGTCACCTACAATGCACTATGCAGATCAGCAGGGGTAGAGTGGCTGTCTACTTATAACCAGGGATCTTATTTAACTTTTCTCGAATGCTTAAGCTCATTCTAGAACTCTTGTCTTGAGGGCCTCCATACTGAAGTAAGGACATAGCCAGGTTTGAGAGCCAAGTTTTAGACAAAGGAGTTAAGGCTATATTAAAGGAGTGTAGTATTGCACTTCTATGAAGTTGGGGGACTGGCAAGAGATATATTTTTAAAAAAAGAATGATCAAAACTGATTCAGCCGAAGCAGAGGTATCTTGACTTCTAATCCCTAGCATGGATCAAGCTCCAACAACACTGGATCCTTCACTTCCCATTATGCAGCCAACAGCAACTCTTGTATTATCCTTCATTCTTCCCTAACTCAGTACCTTCAGTTTGAGAAAAAAAGTCTGTGGTGTCAGAATCCAAGCAAAAATAACCCCGATGACATCATGAGGGTTATTTACTTGGACTATAAAATGCTCCCTTGAGAGCCACAAAAGGCATTTTACAACTGTTTACAAAGGCTGATTGGAAATTGAGTGCCTTTGTGAGGTGCAGTCCAAGTCAGAGTCTGTCTCTCCTTCCACTATTTCATGGCAGCTATTTATGCTTTATGGTGGGGTTTGTGAACGAACGTAGCTGAGCTGGGTCGCTATAGTTTCAGTGTTGTGACAATTGATGTGGTAACACTGTTTTTGCAGCAGTGAAAACTTTTTACAAATGACAAAATGTTGCTATGCTATGCTAATTAAAAAGGATGTCTGGATATAGTGCATATTTGTCTTCTGACTTCATTGTCCATTTATGTGCATGACAAGTTGTCTACATAGTGAGCACAATTTCACCCTTCACTTTGACTGCCCTGTTACATATAAATTCCACTCTGACGTCGTCATTCGTGACAATAGAGTGATGCAGGAGTGAGTCTGAAATCAGGACATAAGTTAAAAATGTAGCACCTCCGGTTCACTCATCTTTAAGTCAATGGATTTTTGGTTAGATTCTTGAAATAAGATTTTTACGTTTAGTTCTACGACATAAAATAAATTGGTAAATCTCCCACTTGTGAACTCTGGAGCTTTGAGGTGTCATCAAAAAGGCGATCGCTAACAAGTGGCTAAATGCAGCTACAGAACATCATCACGCTGAACATAGCTCTACATCTCGTTGTAGTGGCGGTGTTAAGTCATATGACCATAGTGTAGTTCATTTATAGACTCAGATTAGCATTTTGCTTCTGGCCATTGCATTTACGCTTCAAAAACTGTAAAAGTCAGGGGCGCCCAGTAGCTCAGTGGGTAGAGCTGGCTCCTATGTACAAAGGCAATGTCCTTGCCGCAGCGTCCACGGGCTTGATTCCAGCCTATGGCCCTTTGCTGCATGTCACCCCCTTTCTCTACTCCTTTCACGCTAGCCCCAAAATGGTCTTCAAAAAAAAAAAAAAAATGTAGAAGTGGTGGTCATTTGTGAAAATTATTTTGCTGAACAAAATGTAAATATCTTAACTTTTGTTTTCCACAGAGCTCATTTTCTGCAATAATCCAGAACTGAATGGAAAAATCACGTTGGCTTTTTGATGAGGAAACCAGGGTGACATTAACTTTTTTTTTTAAGATTATTTTTATGGGCTTTTTGCCTTTATTGACAGGACAGAGAGTGAAATGGGGAGACAGAGAGAGAGAGAGTGGGGACTGACATGCAGCAAAGGGCCGCGAGCCGGATTCGAACCAGCGGCCACTGCAGCGAGGCGATGCCTCTGTACATGGGGTGCTGGCACTATCCACTACGCTACCGACGCCCTGACATTAACTTTAATAATTTGCTTCCCTGCACCAGTCTATGGCCATTACGTCTAATATCCGATGAAAACTTGATGCTAAGGTGTCTCTCTGTGTATGAGGAAATACAACTTCCATGTTGTGACTACTATAAACAGAAACTACTGTAAGAGCAAATATGGAAAGCAGCATCCACACGGTGGTTTTTCAAGCCCGAGCCTCAGTGACACACAAACTGGAAACACACTGAATTGATTAAGTTACATGTAAACACCTTTATTGTGTAAAACTATTACACTGATGGCAGTGAAATACTGGAACACTGTCAGGGATATTTTACTTAAACAGAGACAGTAATGAAAACAGAGTGAGCACCATAATCCTTCAGAGAGAGCTATAACGTCAACATGGTGGTATACCAAAATGTAACTTTAATGAAAATCCAAGTGTAAATAAAACATTGTGACAAATCTGATGATGGATTAGAGAGAACCTGGGTCTTAAAACACTAACTCAGATTGATCATGGTTGTCTTAAAACTGAAGTTACAGTTTAGCCCGTGCAGTACGCTCACATACAGTAGAACCTCTTAATGCCGAGCTCATGATATGGATCAACAACATGAAAGAAATATTAATAACTTAAGCAGGGATGATGGGAAATGGAACTGCTGTTGCTAAAGCACACAGTGAAATATGTTGTTATGCAGACAGGTAATAAAAAAGATAAAAGGAAATGCACTGTGTGATACAAAGGGTGAACAGTTTTTGACTTCTCATTATTTTTTAAGCGAGTGTGAAAAACAATTTTCAACTATGGGGTCTCTTTTCTCCCAGACAAATACTGGGGGCATATTGGAAAGATGAACTACAGATTTTTAAGAACAAGGCTGAACAGGCAAGGAGAGCCTGGACAGACTTTGCCAAACTGTAAAGCAACAGACATGGAAATAAAGACAGCTCTCTGTCTCCATCTAGTGGCAAAAACAGGCAACAGTATCTACTGGAGAGGTGATTTTCTTTATCACCGTGTCAGCGAGTTGTCCTTTCATGTTCTAAAGGCTTTGTTTTGTCACATTATTATTCCACTTAGAGAAAATGTTAAGTTGAGAAAGTAAAATACTCAAAGGAAACAACACAAACTTAACAGTTTTATAGTTTTAAGCTGTTTTGGGTTTAATGTTTGAGGAGACTTTTATACAAAGCAAAGAGTCATTTCACAAATGTAACAAGAAATTCATGTGAATTGGTTTCAAAGCCACACGACATGGTAAAAACACATTTGCAGCTCACTATACTCTAGAGAAATGTAATTACTACATATCAGTGCTGTGCAGAAGGACAAAAAATGTACATTTTGGTACAAAAATACAATAATCCGTAAACTAATGTGATATCCCTACAGAGGAACAGAGAGAGGCGCAGACAGTGTTACCATATCTATAATGGAACATACTGAAAATAAAATGCCTGTACCCATGACTCATTCTAGATTTGCATTTTGCCTTTAAATGAACTGAAATTTGAATGACCACCAGCATGCATGAAACACCCAGCTCCTAAAGGCAGTCTGCTACAAGGCAGAGCAAAGCACCAGGAGCTAGTTACAGATTCAGAGTGTCTGCAGAGAAACAAGTACTGAATAATGAATCTAATGAGGCAGGTGTAATGATGTTCAAAGGCTCACTGGCTGTTATTTGGATGGATGCTCAAAGCGATGGTATGGCGGTTGATGTTTTATCCTAAATTGATTTTTATTTTCAATTATGTCTCGGTGAGTATTTCTGGGTCAGTCCACATTGCAAGATATGACAAAGAACATTAAATTACCATGTGATTTACTATACATTCACATTATTGTTTTCACATCACGGACAGTCAATATTTCTTTTCAAAGCTCGGCCAGGTGGGCTCAGGCAAGGCCAGTGAAAACTAAAGCTGAAAATATCATATATTATTTCCTTTGTATATGAAACAAACATGAAAATAAAAATGCAAAAGGAATAAAACAAATCTTCTGTATCAGAATACCACAAGTGAGAGGTACGCCTGCTAACCCTTTTTGCTCTTTCATGGGTACCTGGTTGTCAGCCGAACCTGGCAAGTCCTGTTTGACCCAGTTGTGGAAATCACAGTGGTGTTTGATTCCCTCTGTGGATAGACAGGAACTACTATCCTCTCTTTAGGATTAGCCCAAACCCACAGGGCCCTGTTCATCAGCTCCAGGGTAGCAGAGAGGATAAGGTCATAACTTCTGGATCACCACTTGGAACTTACCTGGTGAGACAAAATTAAGAAGAGGTAAACTATCTGTTTTAGGGGTTGACAGATAATCGACCTGGCTGATTATCGGGGCCGATATTATGAATTTTTGGGGTTATCGGCACCTGTGATTTTTTTCAGTTTTATTTTCCTTAGCGGTGCTGTTTTGCCCCTGGCATGCTTCTCACTGCCTGCACGTACCACTCTAGGCCCTTATAAGCAAACTCAAGACCTACCTTTTTAGCCTGACTTTTAATTAAGCTCTCCTTTATTTTATTTTATTTTATTTTATTATCATTTTTATTATCTGTTTTTATTTAGCTAGCATATTCATTTACTGTTCAGTGTTTTACTTACTATTTCACGTACTTTAAACCTCAGGGAGCGCTTTTATATTTTTCTATTCATTTGTTTACTTGTCAAAGTCTTTTTTTCAAAGTGCTGCTGGCAGCTCCCTGTACTGTTTCATTGGAAAAGTTCTCAGAATGAATATATGCTTAATTGCATTTGAATGTAATGCTTTGTCAGTGTTTCTTTTTTTTTTAAATTCTGTGTCAGCTATGATTTTCACAGCGGTTGTAAATATCGGCTATCGGTATCTCTATTTCATAATAATTGGTGTCGGCATCGGCTCTGAAAAAACCATATCGTCGATCCCTAATCTGTTTGGACCTTGACAGTATACTATGCAGGACAGTCGGTTACAGTTTGTAAACAAGCTTGCCGACAAAGATGAAAGTAAAAGCCAACCCTAGATTAACTCTCGTTTGGCATTTCACCTCACTATATTTGCGTTCTTTTGGCACTGTGTCTCTTGGATGCCTGCTATTTATGGTCTGGCACCTGGTTGCTTACTTTTTATAAAGCCCTGACCTCATCTGCGTGCTGTCAGGGTAGATGCCCATAAACATCCCAAGCACAGTCAATAAGAAGCAGGAAAATACACCATCACACACTTATGTTGGGTCATACGTGATAATTGAGAAGGATTACTTCTGCATGACTCTACATTGTTTTTCTAAGAGAACCCTGCATAGTATATCTTTAAAAGATATATCCAAAATGTAGCACCCTACTTAATGATACTTAATGAATCTCACAAACATGTCCTGACCTAACTGATCACACAACCTAACAGTTTCTTAACAGCATGTTATGTTACCACAACCTTTCCCACAGTAAAGAAAAACATGAATGATATTCTGATAGTACTCACAGGATGGCATAACAGAGACCTCAGCTGTCACCACGCTGTCCATACCAAGGTTAGACAGAGCTCCCCTCACAATGCCACATGAAAAAGCAAGGTACTGAAAGGAAACACATAAAAATACAAATTAACATGAGACGTATGGAGGTGGATTTTATTATTTCAGAGAAACAGTATACTCACCTTAGGAGCCTGATCCAAGTATTGTTTTCCACTGGAGAGCTGAGTGAGCAGAGAAAATTTGTTGTCCTGCAGAACATAGGTGCCCTATAGCAGAAAATAAAGGCAGGTATAGTAAGAAACCTTGTAACAAACAACACATTTTAAAGGATAACTTTTGTGTTTTTCAACCTGGACCATATTTCCCTGTGTAAATTGGACACAGAGACTGATGTGAACAACAATTTTTGAAATTGGTCCAGTATTGAGCGAGTGGTAGCTGCGGGACGGGCTGCAATGGAAGCTCACGGGCAATTGAACACTGTCACTGTATGTCCATTAAAAGTGGTTATCTTCATCACAGACGGCTCAGATTGTTTTTATAAGTGGTTGAGGTGTCTCTTTACCTTTCACTTGATCAGGTCTGTTTGTTATTGCCTTGTTAAGCAGAAGTCTTATTCTGAAATATCATGAGATGTCACTTGTTGCAGGAAAACAACAGTGGAAATGTGTGTGAGATCTGTAGAGTATAGTAATCAGAGTGGTTTGCAAAGCAAGTAGTTTAGTGTTGTCTAAAAGATATTCAATGTCATGGATTATCCTGATTTCAATCATGTGGATGAGGCTTTTGAATTTGAATTCTGCCTGTTTTTATGTGAGCCAGAGTATACGCATGAAGAGCGGACAAGGAGAGAGGGAGGAGAAAAGGCAGCAGAGGGTGAACCAGCAGCAAAGCCATGAAGCTGGAAGGCGGATGGTGTTCCTGTGGGTCCTGTGACCCTATGTCCACAGAGGAAAAATGCCTATTTTGTTAAGAGTGGTTCAAGTTTACCCACTCCTGATCTGTGCCAACAAAATGAGGAGCTATACTCTAACCAGCTGTCAATGACCATCTTTGTTGGATATGGACACACTGAAGTTTTGGCTAGTTGGGCTACAAATGAATCCTAACACTCCTGTCCATACACTGCACATGCACACCTGGCGATGATATTGAAAATCTCTTACACTAAATACATTTTCTATAAAATATGCTGGTTATTATACTCTCTCCAAATCTTACATAGGTTTCCTATGTTGTCTGACTGCAACAGTTGACATCTCGTGATATTTCAGTACCAGACTTCCACTTAACAAGGCAATAACGAATGGACTGAATCAAGAGAACGGTGAAGAGACACCTCCACCACTTAAAGCAACAATCTGAGCTCTCTGTGAAAAAAAACAAAACACTTTTAATTAACACACAGTGATGGCACTCAATTGCCCTGTGTGCTTCCATTGCAGCCCGTCCCGCGGCTGCTGGCAGCTGCCTGCTCGCTCAATACTGGACCAATTTAAGAAACTGTGGTTCACATCAGTCTCTTTAACCAGTTTACACTATGAAAAGGGTCCAGGTTGAAAAATGCTTAAGTTATCCTTTAACTGACACTGAATATGATTTTGTATATATTATTTTCTTCATTTACCAGCAAAGCTTCCTATAATTTAAAGGAGGTTATGTAAGATATGACCATAGTTGAGTTGTATTGAAGATTTAGATATTCTAAGCTCTTCTTTGCCAACATGATCTGTGTAATCACAAACTAAGTCACATTTTCACAAAAGAGACAGAAATTCCTGACAGTGAAAACACTAATCTAAACTTTTATTTTACCTGATGGTTTGTTCTAAGGTTGTCAACCTGCCTCCGGAACACCTTCGTCCAGAAGTCTTTACAGATGAATTTCATTACATCCAGTTCATCCTTGAAGCTGGGAGAGTCCCTGGTCAACCTAGATGGACCAAACATAAACACAAGCACTTAATAAAAGTGAGGATGCATGTTGCACAGCATTTACTGTTGCACATACAGTATGTGAGTGTTCGTCTACCTCTCAATGAGTCCTTGTCCCACCCTGAAGCCCATGCTTTCAAGGACAGACACACAAACAGCTCTGTCCTGGAGAGAAGAAAGGTCAAGCTGTTTATTGGCTCAGTGGACAATAAATTATTGTGTGTGTTAATGTGGTTTGTCCTGACAAAACTGCAATGTTATCATGTGATGGTTAGCTGAATTGTGAAGCCTGAGAGTGGGAGAGTGATTATCTGGTTGGTATCTACAAATATGCGCTAATTAGCCAGCACAATTAATACCAAATAGTGATAGTATTTTGAAAGGTGCTCCCAGACCACAGTGTAACTCAAGTCTAAGATTATTCTTCACATTAAGTGTCAGTTGACTGATTCCTGCCTTTATTGAACACACCTTGTTATCCATCTCTCCTTTACCGGACTGCTGCTCCTTGTAAATATGTGACACAATCTCCATGTGGAGAAAGTCGAACAGAGACTCGTCTGCCATATCTGCCAAATACACAAAAGTGATTATAAACCCCAACATAACGCTTGAATAAAACAGTTTCACTTACCACTACCGCTAAATTTGAAAACCCTTAACGTCGTTAGCATTAGCTTGACAGTTAGCGCTAGATAGCAAACAAGTGTTGTTCACAGGCAAAATTGCCCAGGCCTAATCTTTCCTATGTCGGCATATGAGACAACACAAAGCAATGCATGTGTGTATAACATAGCTTGCAATTAATCTGATTGAATTCAACAGCGTGGACTGTTAAATGTACCGTACCTGTAGGTTGCTAGCATAGATTTTAAGCTACGAGTAAACATAAGCCTGCTTCCTGGGTTGCGCTCGAAATATTCACCAGGGTACTCCTCGGGGTTCACTCTGGCGGAGTTAGTGGGAATTAACTCCTTAAATGAACGTTAATCACACGATCCAACAACAAAGAACATTCAAAAAACTATATTTACAGTAATACAATATATTACTTTCAAGAAAAGGGTGTTAGAAAATTCGTTAGAGAGTAGGAAATTCACGTTGAATTTAGGAATACGCCGATACAATTACAAACAGACTCTCTGACACGGAGCTGACATGTCTTCCAATTGCGGTATGAAACGTCACTTGTCATGTGACATGATACTGCAGCTCCGATTGGGTGTTGGAGAACAAGCCATTTCCTTATTGCTCATGTGATTTGTGTTTTCAACAACACAGGAAAGGTTTGACAGTTTCGGGTTTTTTGGACTCTGTATTTAAACATTTAACTTTTACATTGTATTTTAGACTCTCTCTGAGACAACGTGTATTGAGCAAAGTGAAGCCGGTATGTCTGGAATACTGTAGCATATAACTTCCCGTTTAATTAGTAAGCTACAGTAACTGTAGGTTGTTACAGTGTAGCTAATGTAGCTGTGTGTGTTTGTGTGTGTGCAGCCATGTCCAGCAGCTACCAGATTGTGGTGCAGGGCGAGGCCTCTGAGACAGACTCTGATGATGAAGTCTACATCACCTCCATGCCACCTCCTCAAACTGCCACAGTCGGAGCCAAGGTTGTGTTGCATGCTCTGTGTGTGTTTCAGAGATAAAAGTGTGTTCAGCAGCATTGACCAATACGTCACCTCTCCTGTCATTAACCTGCAGTCTGCTTTGTCTGTGATCTTGGGTGCTGTCAGGTTCCTGGGGAGGCGTCTGAAACAGACAGTGAGGGTGAGGAGGAGGAGCAGGCGGACCGAGCATCCTCACTGAGCCAGGAGAGCACTCAGATACTCAGGAGAGACCTGCCTCCTCTTATTGTAGTTAGAGACCATCCTGATATACAGTCCATCGTGGAAGACAGGCCAAGTCCCACACACAGGCCACAAGGTGAGGAAAACCATATAACAGTGGTTCCCAAATTGGTGGGTTGCGGCACAGTCCGTAAAAAACACTATTTATTTTTAAGTACAGTGAATTTCTGGCACAGAGCTTTTAATTTGAAATGCTGTTTCCTGCTGTAGAGTGAGTCAGAAATGGACAGTAGACTAGCTTGACAACATGTCCAAACCCAAGTATGATGCTGAATGTATGTAACTGTGTGGACCTTGAACCACTGCCAAACGAGAAATCTGGACCCTGGGGCTGGGCCAGTTGGGAACCACTGCCATATAACATAATAAGTATAATAGATATTCCAGTGATCATTATGTGACAGAATACTTGTTACTTAGAGATCCGTTTACTGGCTTCTCATGATCTGCATCAGTGAGTGGATCATCAGCTCCAGTGATGCATTTGAAATTTGTTTGATAGCTCTGATAAAGCTGGTAGTTTGACCTTTGAGTTAAGAGTATCTTGCCACAAAGCCCTCCACGGTTAAACTATCCTTATTATTACTACATGGGTAGCCTTACTTAAGATCATATATTGTGGAGTGTTTGTTGTTGCAATGATAACTGATTACTTTTGACCAGTGTATTTCAGTGTTTGGCTTTTTTCCCCGTCACATTTCATCAGTGTTTAGTCACTGATGGCTTTAATCAGATGGAGAAGTGAACGATGAAATTTAAGTTTAGCTCTCAGTTATTTCAGTGTGTCGTTCTGTTTGCAGGTGAGACCCTTTTACAACAGAAGCTGCAGGAATCCAACAGCCGGCTGTTTACTGATGTTGCACAGACACTACGGCATGTTTATGGCAGTGCCACTCGAGAAGTAAGTAGATGTGTTTGACTCTGGAGTGGACATTTATCATTACATATATAAATTAGGTATATAACATCTTGCTAAATGCCCCTTATACTACATAATTACAACAGAGGCCACTGTACTTATTCTCCAGTGTTGTAGAACAGGAAAAGAATATTTGGGAACTAAACATATTGCTATGCAGAGGAGAAGTAATCAGAATAATGCTGCATAGAGGGCCTGATGCAAACCTGTTGTAATTCAAACATCTAGGATGGCTGTGACGGAGTAAGCTTATGATATAATGTCAGAGGCATGACGTTAGAATAGATAGAAATCATATTGCTATTTTACATGCCAGTACATGTAAAGTGGCAACACTTGTATCATTAACAACAATCTTATGACAAGCATCTTGTCACAGCTGATTGGTTGTGGTTGAAATGTCTTCATTTTAAAAGTTTTTTGACTCTGACTGCTTTTCTTAAAGGTGCAAAGTGCAACAGCTCAGCTGAATACGTCGCAGAGCGCCATCATCAACGCCTCCCACAGCATCCGATTAATCCTGGACGACCTCAAGGCTGTGTCCGAGAAGATCGACATCATCACCAGCTGTCAAATACTGCCTGATATTAACATCAGTAATCCAAATAATTGTACTGCTCCTGCACCTTGAAGAAACAAATCAATATTTATGTGTAAAATATCATCATGGGAATATTTTCCATGAATATCAGAGAGTAGGAGAAAAAGCATATTAGCTTTACTTCAGTGTTTACGAACAGCACCCATGCATATGAACAAATATGTATACTGAACAGTCACACACTATTTATCTGTCAGGTATCTCTGTCCTTGTGCCTGGAGCTCTGGGAATATTTCTGTAAGGAGTAGAAGTTAAGGAAATAAAAGCATGTCCTGTCATCTCATGCTTGCAGCTCTCTTCTTTCACTTTGGTCTTTTTATGAGGCATATCCTTTTATGTCTTTGCTCTTTTTGGATCCTCTGTGATAGGTCAAGGAGGCCAAAGTGTGTAATGTAACACCCCCACTATCCAATGGCTGCTGCCCTAATGGATGAAAGCAAAGGTGGAGATAACTGGAATAATTTTGAGGAATTTTCTCATTTTTTGGTTATAAATTTATTTTCAAAAACAGTAGCATCAAAGAGCAGAAAACGAATACATACCTTTAACTGCACTTACAACAACATGCTGGTCACCTCAACTCATGGAAAAGGACTTTGGGGTCTAAACACAGTTACAAACACACTCATATATGTCAGTCATATCTTCACCAACAATGTAAGATAATGCTACTGATTCAATCGGCCTGCTTAACTACTAAAACACTCTCCTGTGTTCAAAGCATCCTGTCCTTTCCCTCCGGTTGTCCTTCCATCCACCCATCAATTCGGTGATGTCCCATATCCAACAATCAACAGCTTCACTGTAAATCCACCCGTACAGACTGTGTTTAGTCATGTCAGACAGGTGTGTAAAGATACACAAACACCACGACCAGGAGGTTAAGAACTGTGCCCACGATACCCGCGATGCCGAGCATGTGTTCAGGGTCCACTTTACATCTGGCTGCTTGAGGGAGCACACGGACAGGCTCGACCACCTGAAAGAGACAGAGAGAGATGTGTGGTGTGTGGACACAATTGAAATGCATCCAAGGCAGGAGTTACTGACATATTTCTACCACCTGATGGCGCCATTGATAAAGATATGACAACACTCACAGAACACAATGTAAGACTTGCTGGTTCTCTTTGGTGTCTATAGTCCAGAAAATCTGCCATCTGCAATTTATGTGTAATAAACACATTATGGCTAATGCAGTGGTGGTAGAAGTACTCTGATCTTTTACTTACTGGTGAGTAAAATACCACAGTGTATTATCTGCCATAGGGTCCAAAGACTTAGGGATGTTGTATGCTGTAAAGCCCTCTGAGGAAAATTGTGCTTTTGGATATTGGGCTGCATAAATAAAACTGAATTGAAAATTTAATTGAATTATTAGAATCAGAATTCAGTTAATTGCCAGGTAGGTTTTCACACACAAGAGGGTTGCTTTTGTGTACTGGTGCTTCACATAAATATTGTAAAGGAAAATGAAATACAAGCCAGTATTACAAAAATCAAGGGAGATTTAAAGAGAACAGAAGAAAAATATAATCAAAACCAAAACCGAAAGACCAGAAAAGTGGACACACTCTGTTACGAATGATTGCCATGCATTTAAGATTATAAAATGCAAAATTATTAACATCAAAATACACTAAAGAAAGTCATCTGTATGCAGAATGGCACATTTTGCTAGATTATAATGACTGATGCATGAATGTGTACATCACTACATCACTAATGTTGCAGCTGGTGAAGGTGGAGCTACTTCAACATCTTAATAATCCTAATAAGTAATCATTATATTATTGATAATAGGCAGTATTATGAATCTGAATCTACAAGGTAACTCAAGATATCAAATACATTTAGAGAAATGAAATATTTCCCTCTGAACTGTAGTAAAGTACACGTATTAAGTAGCAGAAAATGGAAATGCTGAAGCACAAGTGCCTTAAAATTGTACAGTATAACATTACTTGAGTAAATCTACTTTCCACTACTGGTCTTACCTCTCTGCTGTTTCTCGCTCCTCTGTTATTCCTCAGTTCCTTTGGCGTGGGTCGCTCCATTTCTCACCCTTCAAACTCGAAGCAAAAACTACTTCAACTTTAATCCTGTTCAGTCCCAAAACAAACAGAAACCAATATTCACTGGCAGGACTTTGTGCACCATCAGCAGCTCTCTGAGTTTAAAGTCTTCTTTATCCTCCTCTCCCAGAGCTCCAGAGACCCACAGGTCTGTAAGAAACGAGAGAATAAAGGGATGCTGTTTTGTTTGGCTGTGCGGCTAATGGCACAGTCTGTCACAAAAGGCCAAGAAGCTGCTCTGTGTTAGGTTGCGTTGGCTCGTAGCTGCCTGTGTCTGGCTTTCTGTGTCTCCAGTGTATTGCAAAGGGAGTGAAGAGGCCTCAAATACTTTGTGTTGACGTCACCGGTGTCCTCTTATTTGTGTGTGTGTGTGTGTGTGTGTGTGTGTGTGTGTTCTAATTATTGCTGTGTCTTTAAGTGTGATGGATAAGATTTGCCATGCTGTATCTGAGGATGTGTGTGTGGAAACTGAAAGCTA